ATTTTCACAGGAAGACGTGCTGGGTTTGATTCAGCAGTACCTGCAGCAGTTCCGTTTCACGTCCATGGTAAAAGAATAATTAAAGCCAACTCAGGTAAATTATTGCATTTGTAACAAATTATTCAGTGCTCAAAGCATGACAGGTGCAGATATCCTCACAAGTGGAGAACAGCTGAATCGCTGACTGCGAGTGTGACGAGACACAAATAGTAAAATAAATGGCGCCTTATTACTGCATCAGCCTTCATTAAGCGGGGTCGGCAGATGCAAGTTCATTTCACTCACCCAGACGGGGTTTGAGCTATCAAGCCTTCGGAGGCAATTCAAAATGAGGCACTAAACACATGATGCGTACAAAGGCTATGGGCACCATTCCGCTTTAAGGTCTACGTTGTTTAGAGGCAATCAGTACGCTAGACACTTGTTTCAATGCCGTTTGGCGAAAATAAACAGTTCCAGAATTCAGTTGCAAAGATTTGGAATAGAGAACATAAAGCGATTTTTGATGAAGTCACGCATGACTAATTTTTTCCGACGCCGGTCGTCCGCACTAAGGCGCTCCCAAATTAGCCTCTTTCGTCTGAGGGGTGCCTCGGGTGCATTTCGTGCAAGTGCAGCGACGCAAACCGGCCGGCAATCCGGTCGGCGATTATGCACAAATGCATGATAAAGCCGTGATGAGGAGAGGAGAGGAGAGGAAAGGAGAAGAGAGGAGAAGAAAAGCGTACGCGACGGTTGGCGTGCGGCGTGGCACCATGCAGCGAAGGGTCAGGCGCAAGGCGCTTTCGTCGTCAGCAGGTCGGTCGGTCGGTCGATCAGCAAGGATCAACAACAGTTTACTCGTGGTACGATTAAGTGACAAACATCACGGGATCATCGACTATGAGATGGCCTGAGTGACCGCCGATCTCGTAGAATCCGCATCGTAGCAACGTCGCATCGAGCGTACAGCGCGTGACCTACTTACTGGCAAAGACACAGTACGTTTACTCAACTCAACCATGCGACATCGCGGTATTTACTCGTCGCGGTTGCCGCTGTCGTTGCCAGTCACAGCACAAATATAGGGCAGACAAGACGGACGCACATACGATCAAGGACATGAAAAATGCACGAAACGCAGTAATTTGACGGATCCGTCGACAGCACAATAGGCGGCGAACCGTTAATCATCAAGCAGTAAATGAGGGAAAAAATTTATTTGCATAATACATCGGCGAAAAACGCAACGAGGAG